CTGACTCTCATAGAAGGTGAAAGTGAGCATGTAGAACTTCATTCTTGTGATAAATCCATAAACTACAATCCCTAAATCCTTTATTCTAATACTTATAAATAATTTCTGGAGTTCACTGAAGCTGTTTAAAGGCATTACAAGACCATCTCCTGTCATATAAAGTGCTTCATTAATGCTGCTTTTTCACATAAACACATAACTGGAGGTAAAACCAGAGTTAACAGAACCTGTTGTTGACCTGATTGAAGCCAAAAAGAGCTGAATGAGGCTGAATTATGACACTAACGAGGTGGTTTCAGTGCACGTCATCGCCAATCTGGTCAAAGATGAATGAATCCTCACCATGTGGTGCAGTCCTTCTGCCACGCTGTGGTCTCTGGAGTAGACCAGGTTTATTTTGGTGCCCTGAATGGCCACGGGGCTGCGAGCGGCGATCTCTCCGGCCATCTCCAGGGCTCCCGCCATCATGGCCTCCTTATCTGGAAACACTCGGCTGGAGAGGAAACAGAGGATTTAAGACGCTGAGACTGAAAAATAAAGTGACAGCTTTTAGGGGACATGATGTTCAACAGATTTACTCGATCCTGAATAAACAATTTAAAAAGAAAACAGAGAGAAAGAGCTCTGAGGAAAATGAGCCTGAAGCTGTGTGGATTTGAAAATCGTGCTTGATGTACGTCAGAATCAGCTCTGAGAGAGAATCATCAGGAAGATACAAAACATCTGCTGCAGAATATTAAATGGTTTAGTTTGGGTTCATGTGTCCAGTTACTTTTAAACCCCTGAACTTCAGACACTGTGAGTTGAAAGAGCTTTATTATCACCAAATCTGCTTAAATTAAAGCTGAGACTTGATACTTTAACGTCCATTATTTCATCACAAGTTGGATCTGCAGAAGCACAGAGCATCTAAATGTACATTTTCCATGTTCACACCTCTCTGTGTCGAACAGTTGAGCTGCAGAATAAGTCTGATCTTTTGAAAGCACAATTCGGTTCAAACATCCGCTGCAGTGGCTTTTTAATTGCAGCACAGACTCACTACAGGATTTCCGATTACGTGGAGGACGTGTTTACCTGACCAGTCCGCTGCTCTTAGCCTCATCGGCGTACAGCTTCCTGCCAGTCAAAGCCAGCTCGTTCACTAGACTGTAGAAGATTAAAGTTAATATCATCATAATGAGGACTAAACGTAGGATTTTTCTGACTCGATCGTATCGTCCTCATCAAGAAGTTAAACAAACCCGTGACCAGTTTTAGTTGTTAAATGTTTCTGGCACAAAAAAAATCAAAGATGCAAATAAAAAGATTAAGACGGCCGGTTTACCTGCGGCTGCCGATGACTTTAGGAAGTCTCTGTAGAGTTCCGACATCTGCTGCCATTCCGATATCCACCTCCTGTAGAGCAAAACAGAGGAAACACAGTCGATATGGATCCTATCAGGCAGCTTCCCAGCATCAAATACAGGATTTTTTTTTTTCCCATCACGTGTAATAATGCAGTAAAATGTCTCTATGATCTACTCGGGTCTTTACAACAATATATTAAATGTAGTGTTTCCCTATTTATTCATTCTTAAAATGTCAAGATGAAAACGTTTCTGTCTGCTGCAGCGTTGTTACGACGACTAAAAGAGCCCAAGTTCAAAGTGCAGAAGATCAATGAATGAAGAAACAAGTCAATGTGAATAAACAGCTACACATCTGTTAATCTGCTGAGCAACACATTAATAAAACAGTCAAACCTGACAGGGAGGAAAGAAGGATGATTGAAAAACCCAACTGCTTTTGTTAGTGAAACTAATTAAAAGAACTTTCAGTGAGTTGGTTTAATGAATTGATTTTCTCTTTGCATTATGTCCCGTTTTTCTTCACCACATTTCTAAATGATAAAACTAAACGTACAAACCTTAACCTGGAACCAGGCGTCCTGAGTGCACAGGCGAATGTCGCAGGCTGTTATCAGATCCACACCTGCCACAGAGCACAACAACCGCAACACAACTTCAAACCTCACAGCTTCTTAAAGAGCAGGACCCAGAGGTGTGCATCACAGAGTGACTCAGTCTGAGCAGCAGCATGAAGCAGACGATCAGCAGGCGGCTAAGAAAACTGAATCTTTAAATGAATAAAGGAAAACCTCTAAAAGTCGATTTTAGACAGAAGAGGTGGAGAGTGGAAGTGTCCCACAGAATAAACACTAGAATCAGCTGATGTTTCATTTGTTAAACACGCCGCCATGTTACATATTTGATCTGCAAGTGGAGCTTTCTGTCAGTAAAACTAAACGTTTGTAGATGTTCTTGTGCTAAATGTTTGACTTAATGCCTCACAGTGAGACAGTTCACACTCTCCGGTCTGTTTGTTCTCCAGCTGCTGCTTCAGATTCACAGTCAGACTGTTTTAGTTAACGGTTAATTCCACCTCAGCTTTTACTGCAGAGACAAGTCAGCGTTTTGGGCTTCGTCCTCTTTCTTCTTGTACATTTCTGCAGGCGTCTGAGGCTTTTCCTGACTCATGATGCAAATAAAACGGAATAAACTAGTAAATAAAACTGAGTTACATTTTTAAAAATCTGATATGAAAAAGGTCTATTTGTGACTCTGCAGTCGTCCTCAGATGTTTTCATAGCCTCCCATTAAAGAAGGAAATAAACAGCTGTCAGTGAAATAAGATGAAATTCACAAAAGCAAGAATAAATAAAACATTTAATGAAAATCATGACGTTGCTTTTGAATTGTGGCTCCATAGAAATATTTTAAAAAACAACAATAAGCAAACAACCATGATGGACCCGTAAACTAATATTTAGTTGAATAACTCTTTGAGCCAATCACTGCCGTCAGGTGTTTTCTGTAACTCTCAGTCAGACTTGTGCACCTGTTGACAGGTGTTTGGATTTCACTGCTCATCAGCAAAGTGCTCTCATTTGTCCAGGACAGTTTTGTTTTTTAAAATTATTCTTTTCAACCACAATTCAAAAGCAACATCTTATTTCACTAAATTATAATTTAGCAAATTTTTATTTATTATTACTTTTTTCAGTTTCTGGTTATTTGAGTGACTGTTGTGAATTTTGCCTTTTCTTTGATGGAAGGGGATGAAGACATTTGAGGACGACTGTAGCTGCGATCTGGTTTGTACGCCGTGATGCTGAAGGCGTCCTACCTCCTCCAACACAGGCTCCGTGGATGGCCACCAGGACGGGCTTTGGACACTGCAAGAAGAGCAGAATCATTTCACAGCAAAGTCCACAAACTCATAATCCTCTGTGACTGCACTGATCTTATTATCCTTCAGCGTGACGAACAGCTCTGACCTTCTCTATGGCGGAGAACGTCTCCTGGTACTGGGTGATCAGTTTCTTCACGTTCCAGGAAATCCTGGCCGTGTCGTCGCCTTCGGGCTGGAGCAGGTTGTCGGCCATGTCCATCAGGTCGAGACCTGGACGGCAACACGGCACAGAGGGTGAATACGGCGACACTCAGAGAGCGGCGTCAGTGCAGACGCAGGAAACCCACCAGCTGAGAAGATCTTTCCCGCTCCAGAGAACACCACCACTCTGCAGTCGGGATCCTCAGCGATCTCCGTGAAACACTCCACCATCTCTCTGCACAAAAACACACAACCTTTTTAATGATTATTTAACTTCTTAAATACATCAGTAATCTGTCGGCTAGTTATTTTTCAAAAACACAGTTAACTGGCTGCATTAAAACAAATAACTTTGAGGTGATCTCATCAGGAAACATCTATTTTAATGAGCACATTTTTTCCATTTTTCCCCTCAATGAAGCAGTAAATTGCCTGATAATTTACTTTTCTCTCCGCAGCGCCCCCTGGTGTTCACAGTTTGTTTACATCCACTATCTATACACTGCTTCATCCTCACTGGGGTCATGGGGGGCTGGAGTCTATCCCAGCTGACTCACGGTGAAGGCAGGTTCACCTGGACAGGTAACCAGTCTATCACAGGGCTACACTTAGAGACAGACAACCAAGCACACTCACATTCACACCTACGGACAATTTAGAATCACCAATTAACCTCAACATGTTTTGGACTGTGGGAGGAAGCCGGAGAACCCGGAGAGAACCCACGCTGCACGGGGAGAACATGGAGACTCCACACAGAAAGGTCTCGGTGCCCCGACCAGGATGCAAACTGGTGACCTTCTAGCTGCATAACAGTGCTAACCATGCACCACCCTGCAGCCCTCTTATTGAGCATTAAATAGTGATTTGTACACTCAGGCAGAAACAGGCAACAGCTGCTGCAGAAAATCAGATTTGCATACAATAAAGAAAGCTACAGTATACAGGTACTGAACGCACACTGGTCTGAATTATTTATCATATATATCTATTATTTATATGGCACTATATTATAATTATTTTTAATTATTATACATTATATTTTACACATATATTGTTATATATTATTTATTTATTCATATTATTTATATCTCTATATATCCACTGTGTTCTTACCTCAACAGAGCAATATATCTACTCTACCGTTCGGCTGATATCATGCTCATTCCTAACTGTATATACCTCCTACTGGCTCCTTTTGTAAATATAATTGTATATTCTTATTTGTCTTTTTTATGCTTGTATTTTGCACCACTGGAGATGTCTTTTAATTTCGATGTACTTTGTGTATGATGACAATAAAAGCATTCTATTCTATTCTATTCTATTCTATTCTATAACTGCATTAAAATTCCTAAAATAACTTGTGGAATATTCTCATTCTGGCTTTGAACCGGGAGATCAGTGTCAATATTCCAAATCGCAGCTGCAGACGAAGACATTAAACTCGTCATTAAACACAACACGTGACGGATTCATTTAAACGGGTTCCTGCCTCCAGAAGGCTCTGTTCATGGCGTTGCGCTTGTCAGGCCGGTTCAGCTCCACATGTGTGACGGACTCTGCAGGCCGGCTGATGGCCAGGGTGCTGTACGGAGACGTGGGACCACCGGACGACGACATGGCTCTGACCGCAACCTGAGTGGACAGCCACAAGCCCCTGTCTGAGGGGAGACAAACAACAACAACAACAACATGAGTACACCCAGAACAACATGAGTTTATCCAAAACAGCAACAACAGCAGGGAGCAGTGGAGGCTGAACGGCTTCAGTTGAACCCACATGTTAACTGATATGTTACCCAGTATTCTATTAATTCACAAATATCACTGAATGCTCTGCTTTTTTATTCCCAGAGGATTTGATGATCTGACCCAAACCCTTTATTTAGTGAATTCAGAAAACGTTTAACTGTGTTTATTGTACATTTTTATGCACTTGTTTCTTCCTCCTGCTGTTGGATTACTGCCTGCTGCTTGTTTATGTCACTCACAAGTGCCTTTTATTTAAATATTCCAACACTGTCGACTCCCAGCGACAGATTCTGGGAAGCATCAGCTCCTCACTTGTCTTAATATTTCTAACTGAAAACTGAAAATGTTTGACCAAAGCTCTGTAGCTTGGTCTGTTCTTGTCTTGTGTGTCAAACTTGTGTGTTTTGGAGGGTTTTGTTGCACGGTTGATCTCGTATTTTCATGATCTGCACTTAATTTCGAGTAGATACTCAGCATAATAATGGTTAAACACATTTTTTTTACAGCCCAGGTCTAAATATAATGACACAGGGTCATGTTTGAGTCCAACTCCATCCGCTGGTTGTCTTGCATAAAACAAGAGAAAACAAGCACTCTAATGACATGACCTTCATTTTATAGGCTTTAATCACCACATCGAGAAGAAATTCAGTGTATTACTGGTTCAATACAAGCACCATTATACACAGCCCGGGTGTAAAACACATTAAAATACACGTCTGAGCCCTGAACAAAAGCGTAACTACACAGCCTGGCTTCAAATAAGTAAAAGAAGAATTTTAAGGCATGACCTTCATTCTTATAGACTTTTAAACGAGCAGAAACTCAGAGAATTAAAGGCTTAATACAGACAATATTAGTTGCAGTCTCAATAAAAAGCATCTTAAAATACAGATTTAAACCCAGAACAAAACCTCAATGCCTAAAATGAGAAAAAACTTCACCTTTCATAGACTTTGATTAAATAAATCAGGTGAATTCTTTGCGTATTAAAGGTTAAATATTAACATCCATACTTGCAGCAACTTGACAGTTTAATGCATCCAAACTAGGACGTGTTTCTATTGAAGTCCAGCAGAAAAGCTCCAGGACCAAACCCAGAGTAAAACACTGGAGCCATGCCAGTGACCTTTCACCCACATCCCCCTCCAAGATCTTTGTTTACTTCAGTTTAGTAAATGGTTGTTTACAAACTGCTCCGAGCAAACACAGAGTAAACAAACACCCAAACATCAGGCAGGTTTAATAACATTATGGCACATTTACACTAAATAAGGACACACGGCGAACAAACACACAGAACGCTGACACTTACATGAGTTGAGGGCTGACCTGACACACACCGACAACATCGCCCTTTGAGTCAGAGTCCAAACTGTTGTTTGTTTTTTTTCTTTTTTACGGCTCAATAAAACTGCAGCGAACAGAGAGAATCGATCAGTTCAGCTGCTGCTGCTTCGGAGGCTCGCTGCTAACTGACGGTAGCCTGCTAGCTGAAGCTAACTAGTTAACAGTCAACAGCTGTCTTACCAAAAGTGTTTGCTGATTAACTGGTTGGTCTCCAGCAGACGAATAACGAGCAGAGAGACAAAGCGGACGTGTTAGGGGACAGTTAAGCTGTAGCCATGAAGGGTGTTTACATAAAGTGACAATACAACTGTCATTAGCTCTGCCCTGCTAGCTTAGCTCAGCCCCCTGTTGTACAACCTCCTACGGCGGCCGAAGAGGCTCAAACGCGAAAGCTATAACCTCAAACTGTGGCTGCTGACTGCCGGTCCTGAGCTGTCCCTACATGACCCATGCTGTTCATCGTCCAGTTAATCAGGAAACACTTTTGGTGAGACAGCTAGAAACCAGATCGCAGCTACAGTCGTCCTCAGATGTATTCATCCCCTTCCATCAAAGAAAAGGCAAAATTCACAACAGTCACTCAAATAACTAGAAACTGAAAAAAGTAATCATGAATAAAAATTTGCTAAATTATCATTTTGAATTGTGGTTGAAAAGAATAATAAAAAACAAACAAACAAAACTGTCCCGGACAAATGAGAGCACTTTGCTGATGAGCAGTGAAATCCACACAAGAACATCTACAAACGTTTAGTGTTACTGACAGAAAGCTCCACTTGCAGATCAAATATGTAACATGGCGGCGTGTTTAACAAATGAAACATCAGCTGATTCTAGTGTTTATTCTGTGGGACACTTCCACTCTCCACCTCTTCTGTCTGAAATCGACTTTTAGATGTTTTCCTTTATTCATTTAAAGATTCAGTTTTCTTAGCCGAATGCTGATCGTCTGCTTCATGCTGCTGCTCAGACTGAGTCACTCTGTGATGCACACCTCTGGGTCCTGCTCTTTAAGAAGCTGTGAGGTTTGAGGTTGTTGTGCAGTTCTACATGCTCACTTTCACCTTCTATGAGAGTCAGTCTACGTAGCGCTTTAAAATATGGTTTAATGTGTTTATTTTGTGGGAATGTTGGACTCATGGCTTCATAAAACAGACCTCAGGTGTGTGTGCACGTTACCTGCAAACTTATTTACATTTAAAAAGCAGATTGGAGACCCAGCTATGTGTATACAGGGCAAAGAAATCTGGTTGCTCAAGTGAACACCTTTTAAATGCGACTCCATCACTGCCGTGTTGATCTTTTCCAGAGCTTGTGGAACATGAGCATGCTTCAGACTCACGACGTGATGAAATCAGCTCAGGCTGCAATGGAGAAGAAGAGCCCCAAAGACATCGTCTTCTCCAAACTGTGAACGCCGCCGAGGCAAGGTTCAGATAAAAACACAACAACTGCTGTTTCAAAACCCACATTGTGGCCTTTCTGTGGGAATGAAGTGAGATTTTCTGTCTAGACTGAGCTCGTAACACCAAAACTAAAGCTTTCTAGCGATCTGTGATTTCAGATGGTAGTATGTTGATACTAGATGGTCTTGAGTGGAAAACCTTTTAAACAGCATTTCCATGAGTGCAATCATACATTAACCTCTTGCAAGCTGTAACATTAGAAGTGAATGACGGCAGCATTTGATCGAACACGATCTGGAAATAAGATCTGACACTTGTGCTTCGTTTCTCAGCTCATTGCCATAAAACATCAACAGCCTCTTTTGTAAATCTGTAAATGACTACATGAATGTTTTCCTATTAAAAGAAGCTCATCTGAAAGGTGACTGATTTCATTTTTTCTTGCAGCCTCATGGACGATTCAGTGCAAAAAGTAGATTTAAATAACTTAATGCTTTATTGATGAAACATATAAATATGAACAGAAAGTAAAACTGTGACACATTGGAAGTCGATCACTGTCGGCTCTGCTTGGCACGAAGCCTCTGTAGGGTTTTCTGTGAAGACAAGATGGAAAGATATTGTTTTAATCCACTGCTACACAGTTTGGTGCGTGCAGCTCTGCAACATGCACGCTGTCTTTAAAATGCTCATAGCTTTACCCTGTGGAACTCCTTGGCCTTCAGTCTGTTCTTTGCTCCATCCTCCTGTCTGCTCCTGACGGCTTTCTGCTGCTTCACCTCCTCCAGCTGCTCGTACAGTCTGAAAAAAAAAACAAACACAAGATGACAGATTTTAACTGTGAATGAAGATAACCAGGCTTCAGGTTCAACCTCCTTCATGGTAAAAACTAAACATGAACACAGAAACATTATTTACATGCAGAGAACAGCATAGAGGTTAAATCTGATTCTACTCCAGCTGTACCTCTGAGTTCTCTGGTGCATCTCGGTAAGGTTGCGTTTTCTTTGCTCCGGTGTGCAGATCTTCACATCGTCCACCTTTTTCGGTGCAGAATCGCTGACTGAGGAGGAACAGCAAAATGTTTTGGGTACAAAACTTTTCTCCTCAGGACTCTTGACAAAAAGCTCTTATGTAGAACTCGTGGTACCTCAGCTGAGTGTGTACTTAAATAAATACCTGACGAGGGAAGCTGGGGCTTTTTCTGCTTGATGAAGCCAGATTTCTCTTCAGTCTGGAGCACAGCCGGTCCTCCTTTTGACATGATGCCGGTTTTGAGCCGAGGGTCTGGCTTGGATTTTGCTTTCCAGGCGGCCGGTTGAGCTTTATCTGCCTCAGGCTCTTCTCTGCCTTCAGATGCAGCTTTGACATCTGGTTGAGTCTTGGCATGAGCCCCTTTGGCCTTGATTTCTTCCACCCTGCGGTTGGATCTCTGCAGCAGAGCTTGGAGTTTCTGCTGGTGGACGTTCTGCAGGGTTCTGCTTGGACCCCACTGAAACTCAAGGGTTGTCACTGAACACGTAAGGAGGGAAAGAGTGGACAAGTATGGGGAGAAAATGAAAAATAAATCAGGTTTTTGAAGTTCTCCTTATTTTGTTAACAACATAAAATACATATTTAAGCACCCCAAGACATGGAGAGTAATCTCGTGAGAAGAGGACAAGACCAGATTTAAAAACAGTCACGATTTATATCTGTGGAAATCAATCTGGCAGAATCACAGATACTTTATGGATCCCTGAGGGGAAACTGCTTACGTTACAGCAGCTCGCATTCAAAGTCTTAGAAATATAAACAGTACATATACGTATATATATATATATATATATAAAGGTAAGTAAGCATAAGAAAAGGTCAACAAAACCAAGGAGCTGATTATTGATCTTAGAAATAAGGAGACGAAGACGAGACGTCTCCTTTAGTGGAGCTCTAAAGACACGACATGGGTCATTTTGTTACATGATAAATTTACTGAATCTTAAAAGCAGTTTTCCCCAGAATTCAACAATCTCATAAATGTAGTACTCGTAACAGTGTTATGCTTCAGTTAGAAACGCTGTAATTTATTACTTTACAGTTTATTTCTGCTCGGGCAGCAAATACTTAAGAGTAGCTGTACCACAGTTAGCTAGCAGCTGATTTGCATCTGTTGTCTCTGGACAGAAACTCCTGGAGTTAGCAGTCGTAGTATTCACACTCAAGCACAGTACAAGAAGCCTGTAACTGTTGACTTTACCTGGATGCATCTGACGGTCGTCCTCTGGCAGCAACGTAGCTTCTGACCCCTACAGAAGACAACATTTGTGTTCAGAGATCAGACAGGAACTTGCAGCACAAGTCATAAAGTCAACATGCATAGACTGTCAGCACTTGTGTAGTTACCTCGGTCTCTTGGCCTTCCTGTCCGTCCTCCGTCAGCCAGTCTTCCTCTGTGACGGTGGCGTCCTGGTCGGTCAGGCTCACTAGCGTTATCTCCGACTGCTCCAGGATGCCCTTCTCTTTGGCAGCTTCCTAATAGATGAGGACGTAAAACGAAAAGTTATAAAAGGAAAAGAAGAAATCAAAATAAAAGGAAGTTACTAAGCAGATTTTTTTTTTAAGCTCTGCGGTCGTCAGTTTACGTCTGACAAAACTGTGCTTTTTAAAGTTCACTAAGCTAAACAAGAAAACATGTTCTTACCAATATCTTATCAGAAATGGCATCCTTCAGGTGAGAACTCTGCTCAGACATCAGCTCACTGGTTGAAACTGAATCTTCAGGCCATTTAGAAATCTCCACATGTGGTGGCGACAGGCTCGGATCACATGGATCATCACACACGGCTATATCTGACAGAATCTGAGCCGTTTGCTGCACATCTGCCGTCGCGGTGGGAGACACTGCGAGGACGGATTCGTGGGGCTGAAACTGGGAGGTAACAAGCTGGGAGAAGGATTCATGTAAAGCAGGAGACGCAGTCGGGTAGCCGGTCGGCTCGTCCGACCGAAGGCGCTCCGGTGACGGTTCGGACTCGACAGAAAGATCAGCATGAGGTTCAGACTCTGCAGAACGGCTGGAAACGCTGCGTTCTCCGATGGCAGGAGAAGAAGGCAGGCCGTGTTCAGGCAGGTGAAAGGTCATGGAGGGGTCGGCTGTTTCGTTGTGGGTGACCTCAGGCAGCAGTGGGTGGAAAGAATCTGAGCCGTGGAACGCTAGAAATGATAGAAAACAGAGGAAATAAACAGTAAAAGACCTGCATGACAACATCGAAGCCTTTGACTTAACCTGAGCTACAGACAGACTGTAGATTTACACAATTAGTTGAACATTTTATGCCTCACCTTCGGCCCTCTGTGAGCCCAGATCCGCCGGACCAGTTGGGTCCTGCTGTGTCTGGGCCGATGGATCAGAGGAGCCGAGTGATGAGGCTTCTGGAGGCAGCGTCAGATATGAAGGTTCGCTGACCTCGGTTTGGACACCGAGAGCCACATGACTTCTTTCACCTACAAAACAGCAGAAACGTTACGAACAAACCTGAACATAGTGGAACATGTTGGTGAGAACAGAAGTAAGACAGAAGTCAAGAAATCGGATTTACTTCTATTAATCAGGAATATTTTTAGGAACAAAATGCAGAAGTGATAAATAACCACAGTTTACACGTTTACAAACAACTGCCCCCTGTGTATATTTTTTGCTCTACTTTAAGCCACTACTTTTACATACATGTTCAGCAATATCCAGAAGTGCAGCAACAGTTACACAGTTTTTAATGCAAGTTTTAAATACACCAAATACGCTCCTCATAAAGCAGTTTTCATACATACACTTACA